CTGTCATTCCTCAGCTGGCCGAGGGGGGCACTAGCACTGCCCCCCCCCCCCACTCCGGGCCTGGAAAAGGGGCCTGGAGGGGGGGGGATGGGCTGGGCTGCTTCCCGCCCAGGCTGGGACCCCAGAGCTCAGCTGCGGCATCCCCCGGACAGGACCCACCAGTCCAGCATGATGGGCACAGAGGTCCTCCCCCCCCCCTTGGCAGCTGCGTTTGGGCATCACACTTGGGGGCTTCAGTCCCGGACATCCAGGCCTCCCTCGTGGCTCAGGGGGGGTCCTGGATTAGGGGGAGGGGGGTGCAGCCGAGTGTATTTGGGGGGAGGGGAGAGGAAGGAAGGAGCAAGAAGGAAAAGGGAGAGAGAGAGAGAGAAAAAGAGAAAGGAGAGAAAAAGGAGAAAGGGAGGGGGAAGGGAAGGAAATACAGAGAGAAAGAATGGAAGGAGGGAGGGAAAGGGGAGAGGAAGGAAGAAAAGGAAAAGGGAGAAAGAAAGTAAAAGAAAAAGGAGGGAGGAAGGGAAGGAAATAGGGAATGGAAGGAGGGAGGGAGGGAGGAAGGGAGGAAGGAAGGAGTCAGAAGGAAAAGGGAGAATGAGAGAAAGTAAAAGAAAAAGGGAGGAAGGGAAGGAAATAAGGAATGGAAGGAGGGAGGGAGAGGAAGGAAGGAAAAAGAAGGAAAAAGAGAGAGAAAAGAGAGAAAGGGAGGGGAAGGGAAGGAAATACAGAGAGAAAGAATGGAAGGAGGGAGGGAAAGGGAAGACGAAGGAAGAAAAGGAAAAGGGAGAAAGTAAAAGAAAAAGAAAGGGAGGGAGGAAGGAAGGGAAGGAAATAGGGAATGGAAGGAGGAGGAGAGGAAGGAAGGAGTAAGAAGGAAAAGGGAGAATGAGAGAAAGTAAAAGAAAAAAGGGAGGAAGGGAAGGAAATAGGGAATGGAAGGAGGGAGGGAGGAAGGAAGGAATAAGAAGGAAAAGGGAGATTGATAAAGTAAAAGGAGGAAGGGAAGGAAATAGGGAATGGAAGGAGGAGAGGAAGGAAGGAGCAAGTAGGAAAAGGGAGAATGAGAAAAAAGGGAAGGAAGGAAAGATGGAGGGAGAGGAAGGAGGGAGGGAGAGAAGAGGAAGACAAGGAAGGACAGAAGGAAGAAGTAAGGAAGGTAGGTTCTAGGAAATAAACTGGTTAATTTGCCATCCATTCTGGGCTCAATTGTGGTCATAACTCAAGGACTACCAGTACTGGAACTGCCTTGAGCAAAGCTATCCGGTTTGGCATGATCAGACTAGTATTAAAATATTGAATCGTTGCACAGTCCTCAGGTAGGGAATGCTGCAATAGTTTGTAAGTGGACAGACAAAGACAAGTCATTTTTTTCAGTGCTGTTGGAGCTTTGAACAGTCACTAAATGAAAGGTTGTAAGTTGAGGATGCATTGGGTCAGTTTGGTCATGTGATTTAAGATATCAAGACTAGAAAGTGGAAGATGGTGAATTCTAGTTCTGCCTTAGGCATGAAAGCTGGTTGGGTGACTTTAGGCTGATCACCAGGAGATGCTGAGTTCTAGTTCAGCCATGAAGCTGGCTGGGTGACTTGGAGCCATCTCTTTGTTCAGCCCACCTCACAAGGTGGTTGTTGTGGGGATAATAGTAAGGTGTGTGGGATATGTTTACCACCTCAAGTTATTTGTAAAAATAAAGGCAGGATATGAAGAAATACAGTATTTTTTTCTCTCTGTAGTATCCATTGAGCAGAGTGGTGTGGTGGCATAGCGGTAAAACTCTTGCCTCACAATCAGGATGCTGTGGGTTTGATCCTGGATAGAGGCGGATATTTCTCTCTGGGCACAATGAGAATATATCTATTAGAAAAAAACAAACTCCATACTAGCAACAGGAAGGCCATCCGGCCATTAAAACACACTGCTAGCTCCATTCAGTTGTCCAGATTCTACCCTACAAGGGATTATGGGATCGTTAAATGACAATGATATAGTATCTATTGAGTATTAAACAAAAGCTGCTTGCTTTATTCTCCAAGATGCTTGTTGTGTTGTCCAAGAAACCACAAATCCAGAATTAGTGGTGTGTAAATCAACCAAAACCCCTTCGTTACGCGCCAAACTGCTAATTTACTTGCAAGTTTTTTTTTGTTTTGTTTGTGTCCTGGAAACAGAGCCATTGAAACAGTTTGAATGTATTATAATTTATTCCACAGAAACTTGAGCTTTTCAAATATTATTTATTATACAGAAATGAAAAGGGGGGGAGGGGGAAAGTATTTGCCCCAAATGGAAAACAATCCACATAAAAGACAACTCAAGACAATAAAAGTGCGTCAATTTAGGAATTTAAATTTAATTAGATTAAATCGGACCTTCATTTAAACTGTGAATCGGGGGTACGCAGCAAAGAAATTTCAATTCTCGAATTATATTCAACCATTATTAGTAGGTGCCAAATTTAAGTGCTGTAGGATGCCAGCTCTGAGACTTACTGATTTTTTTAAAAACGACTATCACATTTGTTTTTAAAAAATGTAATTATTGGTAACAGCTTTGAATAACTGGAAAAGTACACATAGGAGCCCGCAAATAAATACATCCAATTAATACACTGCAGACTACGTTTCTGAAGTCTTTTGAAGTCCTGGGTGCCTTTCCATTTTGTTTGCCAGTCTTCATTTTTCTTGGTTACACCTCAATCTTGTCCAAACCCTTGTCAAAAAAAAAAAGAAAGTCACAAGAATTAAATTAGCAAAATAAGGGGCAACATCCTAACACAATGTGCTCAGACCAAGAAGCCACATTTTCTTTCCTTTTTAAAAATATTGTTATTGAACATTTTTCAGCAGTTTAAAAACATATACTATTTAACGTTAAACAGCATTGCAAATATTCATATATACATCACAATTTCATTACTAATATTTTTTGTCTAACCACCTGTAACCAAGCATCCCAGACCAAATAGTATTCCGATTCACCTCTATCTTTTAACTCCAGTGTAGGCCTGTCCATCTCTGTGCAGTCTAAGATCTTTTTTATCACTATCCCTATAAGGTCGTGTTTCCAGGTTTGTGCATATATAATCCTGGCCGTGGTATTTATATGCAAAATAATATATTTATCTTTTTTACTATAATCCCCTCTTATTATCCCTAGCAAGAAAAGTTGAGGTCTAAACTCGATTTGTTGGTCCCTTATTTCCTCTAACCATTTTTTAAATTCTAATCCAATACCTCCTGGCTTCCGGGCATGTCCACCACATGTGAGAAAAGGTACCTTGACTTTTTTTTGCATTTCCAACATTCTGGGCTCAAGAAGTCACATTTTCTATCCAGGCCATACAAACCCCGCAAAATCACTCACCCCTTTGTAACCTAGCCGCTTACATAAAGTCATTGTAAAATGGGACGCAGCTTAACTGTCTTGCTTTAGCAAGAGAAATCTGTTAAGTCGTATGCCAAGGAGTATCTGTATGGTAAAGGGGAATTTGCCGTGTCCCGGCGCTTGAGGATAGAACCAGCGGATGGGAAAACCGCTGGCACCGAAGACATGACGCTGGGCAGTATTAGTTTACCTCCACACATTACAGAAATGGGTACAGGAAAACCCGATCCTGCCAAGAAAGGGAGGCTTTGATTTTTGAGGAAGGAAGGAAAGGAAGGGAGAAGGAAAAGAGACAAAGAAAGGAAAAAGAAAAAAAAAAAGATGGAAGAAAAAAAGAGAAAGAGAACATAACACCAGACCAACTTCTACCATCTTTTAATGTTTTCTCTTGGGCCTCCCATCCTCCTATGCCATGGCTGTGGAGGATGGGAGGCATAGTGTCCCCGGGCTTGGAAAGAAATAGGAACCATGGTTTAGGAGAGAGAAAGAAGGAGTTTAAGAGGCTGCCACCCCTAAATTTCCCTGCAGGAAGATCTCTTGGGGTTCTTTTGTAGGGAGACAGTGGATTCCCTTCAAATGTTGGGATTAAAGTTATCCTCTCACCTGTTCTTCCTGGAGTCTCGTCTCCTACATCCCTAAAAAGAGCTTTTAAGGATCAAGGTAGCTTTTAGCTTCCACAGATTGGATCACCAAGAATCATTGCTCTGGGATCTTTTGGAAATCTGCCGTCCTAGGGTGTTGGGGATCTGGCGCTCAGCCTTTCTCCAACCTCCATGTGGCTTCAGAGCGGATCTCTGATCGCGGCGTTGCATCTTCCACCAAGAATGCCTCGGATCTTCCTTGGTAGGATTTCTCAATAAACATGGCTCCTGACTTTTTCAGGGGAGTGGGTATTAAGAATGCTCTTCTCCATCTTTTCCTGTTTCTTGCCCTGCTGGGAGGCCAGATCGGTAGCTGTATAAAAGGAAGAGAAAGAATGGGAAAGGAAGGAAGGGAAAGAGAATCATAGAAAAGGAGGGAAAGGAAGGAAAAGAAAAAGAATGAATAAAAGGAAGGGATGGGGGGAAAGCAAAAAGGAAGAGAAAATAAAAGAGGAATAAGAAAAGGAAAAAAAAAGAATGAAAGGAAGGAAGGGAAAGGAAGAAAAGGGGAAAAACGAAAGGGAGGGAAAGGAAGAAAGAAAAGTGGAAGGAAGGGAAAAAAAGAATGAAAGGAAGGTAAAGAAAAAGAAGGGACAGCGAAAGAAAAAAGAAGAGAAAGATAATGAAAGAGGGAAAATATAGAAGGAAAAGAAAGGAAAGGAAGGAACGGAAAAAAGAATGAAAGGGAGGGAGGGAAAAAGAAGGAAAAGAGTGAAAGAAATAAAAAGGAAGGAAGAGAAAGATAAAGGGAAAATATAGAAGGGAAAAAAGGAAAGAAAAAGGAAGGAAGAGAAAGTTAATGAAAGAAAGTGAAAATACAGAAGGAAAAGAAAGGAAGGGAGAAAAAGGGAGAAAGAAAATTAATAAACCCGGGAAAAAGTCGAGCTCTTTCCAGAGCAGGCAGAAATCGAGCTCTTCTCTTGCATCAAAAGAGAAGCACGGACTAGGAATCCACTCGATCCCTTCGAAGAAGAAAAGAAACTTACCTGCCTTTCCCTACCTTTGCAGGGAGCAGCCATTTCCGAAAGAAAGCCAGGACGCCACGTGGCCGATTCATAAAAACTCCGAGACAGGCACGTCAAAAGGGAGGAGCCAACCCCATCCCCCTTTCTGATTGGTCGCTTTCGTTTGGGCCAATGCGGGTTTGTGGCAGCCGCCGCGCGCGCGCCTCCGCCTCTTATGTCACGTGATCCGCGGCGCCTACCCGGAAATGAAAACCTGCGGTAAAGAAGTCGGCCACGTGGTTTTTTTTTTTTCAGCATGGTTGCTCCTTCCGGGAAGATCAACCGGCCGCGGACGGTAATTCCAAGATATTGAAGAAATTAAAAAAATAAAATAAACTGTTTATTTATTTTTTTAAAGAGTTTTCGATTAGGGATATTATTTATTTAATTCTAGGATATTTAAGAAATAAAAAAAATTAAAAGTGTTTATTTATAGTTGTCTATCTGAATTTCTATTCCTATCTTCTTTCCCGCCTCTCTTCTCTCTGAATTTCTCTGTTCCTTCCTTTCTTCTGTCTTCCTTTATCTCCCTCTCTCAATTGCTACCTAGGATAGGATAGGATAGGATAGGATTCTTTATTGGCCAAATGTGATTGGAACACAAGGAATTTGTCTTTGGTGCTTAAGCTCTCAGTGTACATAAAAGAAAAGATACATTCGTCAAGAGTCATCAGGTACAACAGTTAATAATAGTCATAGGGTACAATAAGGATAGAATAGAAGGATATAGGAATAGAATTTAAATAGAATGGGATGGGATGGGATGGAATGGGATAGAACAGAAATAGAAATTAGAACAGAATAGAATAGAATAGAATTCTTTATTGGCCAAGTGTGGTTGTTTACATAAGGAATTTGTCTTGGTGCAAATACTCTCAGTGTACATAAAAAGAAAAGACTCAAGAGTCAAGAATCATCAGGTACAACAGTTAATCATAGTCATAGGGTACAATAAGCAATCAAATCATACTAGGAAACAGTCAGTAAAAATAGCAAGGATATAAGCGACAAAGTTACAGTCATTCAGTCACAAGTGGGAGGGGATGGGCGATAAGGAGTGATGAGAACATTAACAGTAATAGTAGTGCAGACTTTGTAAATAGTTGGACAGTGTTGAGGGAATTATTTGTTTAGCAGAGTGAAGGCATGGGGGGGGGGGAAACTCCTTGTGTCTAGTTGTTCTGGTGTGCAGGGCTCTATAGCGTCGTTTTGAGGGTGGGAGTTGAAACAGTTTACATCCAGGATGTGAGGGGCCTGTGGATATTTTCACAGCCCTCTTTTTGACCCCTGCAGTATACAGGTCCTCCATGAAAGGCAGGGTGGTAGCCATTGTTTTTTCTGCAGTCCTAATTATCCCTTGAAGTCCGTGTCTGTCCTGTTGGGTTGCAGAGCCAAACCAGACAGTTATAGAGGTGTAGATGACAGATTCCATCATTCCTCTGTAGAACTGCATCAGCAGCTCCTTGGGCAGTTTGAACTTCCTGAGTTGGCACATGAAGAACATTCTTTGGTGATGACGTTTTTGATGTTAGGTGTCCATTTTAGGTCTTGTGATATGATAGAACCTAGAAATTTGAAGGTCTATACTGTTGATACTGTTGATACTACTGTTGATGTGTTGTCTAGTATTGTAAGAGGTGGTAGTATGGGAGGGTTTCTCCTAAAGCCTACCCTTCCTTCCTTTCTCCCCTTCTTTCCTTCCTCCACTTCCCTTCCCTCTCTCCAATCTAATCCAATCCAATCTGATCTACCTATGGTTGGATGATGTAGATGTTTATCCCAAGCATGTTTAAACTCAGTTACTGATGATTGTGACCCACTAACTTCCAGCGGAGGTTAAACACGCTTGGGATAAAGACGTGTTTGATGTGCCCAACTGCCATTTTTCTGCAGTTTATTTTTATTTTTTGTTGCGGTGGCGGCTCCTTGTAAAGCTTTCTCATTCTCTTGTGTCAGGAGCTGCGGAAAAAACTCTTCAAACGGCGCCGTGTCCTGAGCAAGGAGAAGCGAAAAAAACACCGGATTGTGGGAGCGGTGGTAGATGAAGGTCTTACCACCGTTCATCACCTGAAAAAGCGATCGTGAGTGATATGTTCGCTTTTGGTGGATTATTTCTGGGGAAGAAAAATGTGCAAGCCAATTAAATGCTGTAATAAAAACTCTCAAGTTAACTTTCTGGGGAATTCTGGGATTTGAAGTCTACCCATTTAAAAGTTGCTGAGGTTAAGGAACACTGATTTAGACGACCGATTTCATTTTTCTAAATTCATGAGTTGACTTTAAAACATTTCTTCTCTGTTTGTAATTTCCTTGTTCTCTTCCAGATCTAGTTCACGGGCAAACATTACTCTCTCAGGGAAGAAGAAAAGAAAACTGCTTAAACAACTGCGTCATGCCAATAAGGAAAAAGCAGAAATGCAGGGTAAATTTTCTTTCTTTAGTTGGGGAAAGGAATTTGAGCTTGCATTGTTCATAGAAGATGGATATCAACTTATAAAACATTTCTATGAATGTTTTAGAGTTGCCATGAACAGAAAGGGAAGAGGAGAAATTTGAAAGAGCACTGCAGCAATTTGGAACCGAAAGTGCATTACATTCTTATCTTGCAAAGATTATAACTAAGCAACCAGAGTTTTTGCCATGCAAATCTCTAATTGGAGAACATGATTGATGACTCTTGGCTATGAATGTGTTTCATTGGAGAATAGGAATTATGATACACCCAGAGGGATGGGGATAGGTCATACCGACATATTAGCTCCTAATAAATCTTTTGGAGTTTTTGAAGCTTGACTTGAGGCTCATGATTTAATTGGGGCAACTGCCGGAATCCTGACAGTGAAAGGCATTCCACACTTGGAGGGAGTGAGATAGGAGATTTGAGCTCCTGGTCTTCTCTCTTGTGATCAACGTCTAATTGTTGACTTTAAAGCATTTCCAATTTCCATTTGCTTCATGGCCGTATGACTTGCTTTAAAGACCATGTCACTTATCGACCAAAATTCACAGCTGGGATTGTAAATCGAGGATTGTCTGTACTTTACCCCTTGCTGGAAATTGGGTCAGAGATGTCCATGAGAGGGCAGCTTTATGGCTTTGAGAACGTGGTGACTTTTTTCCTTTTTTTTACACTGTTTCCATCGTTCCTTTTGTACAGTTGATGTTTCTCCAGTTCGGAGTGCAAAAAGGAAGAAGAAAAAGGAGGTAACTCCAAAGGACTGTCCAGATGTTGAGATGGTGGAAACTAACATGACACCTGGATTGGAAAGCTGAACCCGGCTTCTGGAATCTTGAAAACCAGTGTCTTTTCTCTTTTCCAGCCTATCGGTGACAGCATTCCTAGTTGGGGGTAGGGCTGGATGGAGAAGGAGGAGGAAAAGACAGGTTACCAAAAAAATAAAAAATAAAAATCAGCTTCTCAACCAGTTTAGCTCCATAAAGTTTGTTTGCTTTTAACAGGAATTTAAACCCATCAACCACATTTTGAGGGTGGGTGTCTGATCCCTTTTTCTTTTGGTGAGCAGCTCCCAATTCCTGAATTTGAGGAGTTACAAAATCGTTTAAAATTTAGCTAGTCTGAAGTTGTACCTTAAAAAGGGGTGCTTGATAAGACAGAAGCTTTACAAGTAAGTAGTTTAAGATTTTCAGTGGCCATACCAGATTATGGCACAGATACCTAGAACTGTTCATGTGTACAGTTAATCATACAAGATGCCAATTTTTTTTTTAGCATTGGCAACCAATTTCAGTTGAAAGAGAAGTGCACAGCAAAGATATCTATTTTCATATGTTCAAATTGTCTTGTGTTCTTATCCATATAATAAACTGACCCAAAAAAATAAACACCCTGTGTCTTGGTTTAGAATTATTTTTTATTTTATTTTTGTGTTGTGAGGAAGAAGGGAAAGAATATGACTAGTTAGTACATTGTGTTAAGGCATGGTGCATTTGGCAGTGGCTGTTGTCTAAACACGGTTAAAAATTGTGAAATGGGAGCCAGTTATGTCCAGAAAACCATATTGACTGATCCAGGTTCTTGTCTGGAGTCAGAACTGTTGGAATGCACAAATTAGAAATGCTGAGCCATATGAAATTATTAACCATGGTTAATAAGCCACGGGGACTGGGCTGAGTTAATATAACAAGTGGCTCAAATTATTACAAATCTGAAGGATTGCCTGGACCACTACACATCCTGTTCACGACCCGTTTTCCTTGTTACCTTTTGGAAGAGGGCTTCTTGGTATCCGAAGCAGAACATCCAGATTTATTCACAAGTTTTGTTCCATATCACATCAATCTTGTGAACTTCGCTACATATTCAAAATGGACAGTGATTAATATACTCTGTGTGTAGGTATAAAATTAGACAAAACAATTAATCAGTGGAACAACTTGCCTCCAGAAGTTGTAAATGCTCCAATACTGGAAGTTTTAAAGAAGAGATTGGATAACCATTTGTCTGAAATGGTATAGATTTCCTGGTTGGACTAAAAGACCTCCAAGGTCCCTTCCAATTCTGTTATTCTATTCTTATGCTATTCATGTATGTATATAGCACGTGGGTATGGGTAGATACACATGCTATTGAGACCAGGCAACAAAATTTCATTTTTATTGTGTGCCAGTATGCTCAGAATAAAAAAAAATGTCAAGGTTAACTTATCTTAATTTTAAATTGAACTGAAGCTGCCCAACATCCAAGCAGAACAATTGAATATGTTTTGAGTATAAACTTATTAACCTTGATTCATAAGCCACAGGAACTGAGCTGAGTCTATAACACAGGTCTCCAAAATTGGCAACTTTAAGACTTGTAGACTTCAATCCTAGAATTCTCAGTAGTCTTAAATTTGCCAAGTTTGGAGACCCCTCGTCTAAAACAATAGTAATGGCTCCAAGTGTTATATTTAACTGAAGGTGCCCAGCATCCAAGCAGAACAATTGAATATGCTTTGAATATGCAGTTATGAATATGAAATTATTAACCTTGATTCATAAGCCACCGGGACTGGGCTGAATCTGTATAATAATAGTAATGGTTCCAAGTGTTAACATGTC